AAATAAATTAACAATATTAATAGTGATCTTATGTGTTGCTGTTTGCTCTTTATGATCATAAATTGGGGCAACTAAATCAGTACCAAACTGGGCCGAGCCGACTTAAGCTTTAAGAAACTTGAGTTGGACTAGAAATTAGAAGTTCCAAACTTGTTTTGACGTAGTTTTACTTTAAAATTTTAAGTTTGATAAAAAAATCAACTTGAATCTAGTAAGTTTGATCAATTTTTAAAAGCAACTAATTATATTCAAAATATAAAATATCTTAAATTATAATAAAGAATTATAGTAAAGAATTATAATAAAGATTTACAATCACAATAGTAAATTAAACACATAATTAGAAAATTTTTCTATAATCATTGAAGCAAAACTAACAACTTAATATCACATAAAGACCATACAGGGAAATATTAAAAATCTATCCAATAAACTCGAACAAAGATAGATACAAACAAATCTGATTACATCGGCAAACGAACCACAAAATGATATCAAACTATTGAAAGACTATCGACAAACCACAAATTAGACTCGAGCAACATAAAAAACTATCCATGAATACTAATCGAGTATCTACATCCAATCCAAGGGTCAAAAGCAGGGAAGGTCAATAAGATATCAGATAAGTGTCATCCTGATTAGTCGTGACAATGTTAAATCAACATTTAGAAAAAGATAAATGGAAAAAAAAGATAAATAAAAAAACAAACGACCGAAGAACATGCCAAAAGACATAAGAAAACGTGTCATAAAGACATGTGAAAACGTATATACATACATACTTATTGAAAATAGAAAAATAGAAATACAATATAAAAAACAATAAAGAATACCGATGGACAACTAACATTAAAATTAGTGTCGCCGTCGATCAACAAAAATAAAATAGAAAAGAAATAAACGACACGCCAATAAAGTTTTTTTCCTTTCAAGATAAAGTTAAAGTAAGAAAATTAAATAAGGGTTGGTTACTAGTTTAATTCAATTTCTAAAATATAAGAAAATTAAATAAGGGTTGGTTACTAGTTTAATTCAATTTCTAAAATATATGAAAAATAAATGTAATTACTGTATTTTATTTTGAATTTGATTACTGTTATATTTTCGGAGAATGATATTGGGAAATTAACATATTTGTTGATTTCCCTATTTATTTAAGCTTTAATTTCTTAGACCTTCAATCGTTTGATAATAAATATTTATATACCTCAATAAATATCGTGTTTGAACTTAGAACTTCAATAAATTATAATTATCCCTTTGATTATTGAGGTCGTTTTTTTTATGCAACAACCACTTAGATTCGTACGGGGATTTATCGGTGATGTTGTTTCAAATATATAACTTTATATATTCTCGTACTCTAACCCTTTTTTTTTTTTTAAATTAATCACTGGTATTAGATCCATTGATAGTCGTTTCATGAAATTCAAGACCAACAAAACAACATTCAAAAGAAAGTTCACTGGTTTCCCTAAACTCATGACAATGAACAGTGTTGCCATCTTTTCCATACCTACTCTTCATTGACATTAAAAATGAGCAAGCATTTCACATTTTCACAACATGTTTAACTTGATCTATTACCAGTTTAATGAATCTTTAAGATAACTTGAAAGTTCCAGGAATACTCTCATTCTTAAGCCTTCCATTTTTTTTTATAAGTGATTTTTATTTAACCAAACAATATATACATATGATCCTTTATTCTCAATCATATTATATATACACATCAGGAATAATCATGAACATTTTAGGTATTGTTATAGTGAATCTCACTCATTTCCAAAATTTCAAAGGTGATCAGGTAGAGAACCTTTGACCTTGATGTTTATATCAGAAAAAATTTATTGTTAGCAGACACTGAAGTCAAAAATGTGATTTCAAACAAGTGGTTAGACAAAAACAAGCTAAGCTCCATTTAACCATGTCAAGTTCAGTCGTCTACTCATCAACTACATTGAATATGATCAACTAATTAATAACTAAGTCACTGCCTTTTTGAACAAGTTCATTCGTGGCCTGGGAACTAACATCATCATTATAAACCAGCAGATATCATGGCTATGATTTCTCCATTTTAAAATGATTTGCAGTCTTTTTTTACTTGTTTAGTAAAGCATGCGAGGGCCATTAATTAATATCAGTTGCCATTCAACAATGGAAGCTGTAATTTGGAATTCAAGTAGAATCAAACGATATTATATTATGAAATTTGCAACAGAAGTTACCAAGCGGGCCAGTGGCTGCCCATACCTTCCTAGCTGCTTCTTCACCCTGATGTTGCTCTGAGGTGGACAGCTCAGCTACTCACCCTATGATTGCGACCATATTTTTCGCGGCATTGTTGGATTACCTTAATTATGGACATAACGGATATTATTAAAGTAATAATAAATATCGTCATCATGAATTATTTTAAAATTCACATAACTTATTATAAAACATAAAATTTAAACCTCAATGAACTAATTCAATACGTGAATTAATTTGATATCGAGTCATTACTATTGTTGTAATTAGTTGTTACTCATTAAATTGTAGCTTCGATTCACCTTTATTAGTATGATTCTACTACACATCATTATTTTCATAATAATATTTTTTTGTCGTTGCTTATATTATACGATCATTATTCGATATCCAACCATTATTTAAATCTATATCTATAACTACTGTGCTCTATATTTTCTTGAGAGATGTCAATGATTATACCATTTATATTATTAGCTGGTGATTGAAAGATTATAATCAAGAGGGAAAAAACTGTTTTTAAAAAAAAAGAATAAAACAATTTATATGAATATATATTATTAGTATTAGATAAATTGTTACAATTTTTTAATAAAGTATGATTAAATGAACAAAAAAAGTTTGATTTGATATTATATTGAACACGTGTTGTCCTTTTATTGAAATATAAATAAAGAAATGCATAATAATGAATATTCCTGCACGAATATGTACGGTAATTATGACCTTCTAGAGCTAGTCAAAGACTTGGTATAATACTATTATGCATGCAAATTGCAAAGATAGAAGTTAATCAATCTCTCTCTATATATTTTGCGAGGTTTCATATTTGATCATTGAATCTATACTCTGTCAACACAACATATAATAGTCGTCCGATGTTCATTGAATCTCGGATATGAGTACAATCCCTCATAGTTTCTCCAAAAAATAATTACTTTTGCAATAATATTCTAAACCATATGATATTATATATGAAAAATTCTATCACGTTCGACAAGCATCGCTGAGCATCATTAACGATTATCACTATTAATTTAATTTATAAAAATTTAAAATTTTAAAAGAGTCAATGTATAATTATAAATTAATTAAAAATAAACTATTTAAAATAAAATATTAATTAAATTATATTCCATAATTTATTAATAAATTTTAACAAGTTTTTAAATAAATTTTTAAAGATAAATTATAAACTTTTTTATTGTTAAAAAACTGAAAAATAATGTAATTAAGATTTTAAATAATTTACCTTTACATTTTTAATTAATTTATAATTATAAGTTGAGTCTTTTAGAATTTTAAATTTTTATAAATTAAATTAATGACGTCCAGCCATGTTTATCGTTAATGGTGCTAAACGGTGCTCGTCAAACATGATAGACTCATCTTATCATATTTTTCACATTTTCTATTAAAGGTTGAGCGGGAAAAAATTGAAATTTTATTATGTATGGAAATATGATATATATAGGGAGAGAATGTAAAGATGGTAGGTGAACTAATAATTAATTGGCGTAACAGATACTTTTAAAATAATACTTAATATTCAAATTAGATTAAAATAATTATTTATATTAAATTTTAATGAAATCAGTTTTAAATGAATCAAATAATAAATTGAATATAAATAGTTATGCGTTGTTAGACGGACCGTTTGTTATTTTGTGTTTGCCAACCACCACATTGTGGGGAATATAGGAGTATTTGACGATTCAAACTTGGGTCGAATCATCTAAAATGACGCATGTCCAATGTTTGCCACTGCGCATACTAATCACAGGTATACATACACATACCAGATTATGATCATGATTACTTATAAATTTCTGGAAACCGAGGAGGAGGCTCTACCCATCAAAACAGGACCATTGATATGGTTGGAGAAACCATAGGCTACCGTTGGATTTATTCCAAATATTTGGCCTTTCAGCAAGTTCCTGGAAACCGAGGAGGAGGCGCAGTCTCACATGCAATAAAACGACATGGCACCCACCCACCAAAATAAAGAAAATGCTTTATAAAACAAGTTTTAGTAAATCTGTAATAAATAATATCATATGAGCACGTGTGAAATTAGATTAGTCCAACGGAAACTGCTCTTATAACTACAATAACCACGAACCTTCGGGGGGAAAATTATTTAAGTTTATTCTGGTCTAATTTATTCATAAGTTCTCCTCCTTAAATTAAAAATTTGATAAAGTATACAAATTGTCCCTTAATTATAAGGTATTATTTTATTGAATTCATTGACTATTTAATAGTTTGGAGACTCAACAAAGCAATGTCGTCTAGTTGATGGATATTTATGTACCTTACCCATAAAAATTTATAGACTATTACATACATTTGAATTTATTATTTCTTAAATAGTACCATAAAATTAATAATATGAATTAAAGTAAAATCTAGGATAATTACGAATGTTTTCTTATTAAGTAGAAAAATATTATATATTTTTTAAAATATATTGAAATTTGAACATATACAAAATAAAATAATATAAATATCTTTAATCATTCAATCAATTAAACGATGTCAATATCAATGCTCTTTGTTTGCTAATTTCTCATCCATTTTTTTATATCATGAAAAGTTTAATGTCTTTATCCTAATGACGAAGCCGCCACCATATTTTCAATCTTTTAACAGAAAACGTGCCGCCTACGACGCCTTTTGCCCCTATATATAAGGCTTTGGATGTTTTCTGCTTCGTTTCTTCATCTTTCCCCATACAATAAATCCGATCATTTTTCTTTTCCAATAGACTCTCTTTGATCCTTCTTCTTCTTTACACATATATAAGCAGTGCTGCCTTTTACTACACATGGAGAAATATCAAATGTTCTTTCCTATGTCAGCCTCAGCAGCAGCAGCAGCAGATCAGTCTTTACCATTAAACATGGCGCCTAATTCTCAAGTTTTCAACAATTTTAATGGGAATTCCATCGATGGGTTCTCGGGTTTTAAGACCGAAGACTTGATGAAGAAACCAGAAGATCATAGGGAATTTGTAAAATCAGGTCAGAAAATGGAAAAGAAGATAAAGAAGCCTAGATATGCTTTCCAAACAAGGAGCCAAGTTGATATACTCGACGATGGATATCGTTGGAGGAAATATGGCCAAAAAGCTGTTAAGAACAACAAATTCCCAAGGTTTGTGTTTTGGCTTGTTTATATAATAACCTTTTTCTTTCTTAATTTTGTTCCATTTCATTCATGTTTCCGTAAATTCTAAGGGTAACTAAGATCTTTTGATGTATATGATAGAGTAGTTGATCATGTTTCGGTGAACAGTATGTTCTTAATTTGTTTCGTTTGCATATGCATATACAATTTTTGTCTAGGGTTTTCTTAATTTGTTTGCATATGTATATATAGTTTTTTTCTAGGGTTTTCTTAATTTGTTTGCATATGCATATACAAGTTTTTGTCTAGGTCTTATTTTTCCTTTTTGAGGTAATTAAATGATCAAATGTGTTTATATAATCATTTAAAGCAAAAGATGTTGCAAATTAAGCTAAGAGCTTATAAAACCTATAGGACAGACATGAACAGGAATTCAAGTATCCCCGATAGGAAATGGAGAATTGTGCTAATGGAATATATATATATGTGTGTATTTATCACCAATATTATTTATATATTGAGTTAGAGTTGTGTGACCCAAATTCTCTTTGATCTGGCTTGAGATAATTAAGAAGTGACGTTCATGGAGAGTAGAAAATTCAATTTGAATACATTTATTTCTATGCAAGTTCCTTTTGTAAACGAAAAACTTATTCCTATAAATATATACAAATTATTAGAGTTTAGATATAAGTTGCATAAATCCTTAATCGTGTTTAAATGTAAGTCGTTTTGTACATTTTTTACATTGTGAATTTTTTATTTTCTGCATGTAATTTTTTTTCTTAAAATGATTTTTCTACATTAAATCTTAGTATTCTTTGTTTTACGATTATTATTATGGTACTTACATTATTACATATCCTTTGTAAGATTTCTAGATGAATCAAATGCAAGGGTATGAACTCAACTAATGGTATGACTAAATTTGCATGTATGTGTACAGAAGTTATTATCGATGCACGCATGAAGGATGCAATGTAAAGAAGCAAGTCCAACGTCTAACCAAAGATGAAAATGTGGTAGTCACCACTTACGAAGGAATGCACACTCATCCTATACAGAAGCCAACCGACAATTTTGAACATATCTTGAGCCAAATGCAAATTTATACACCCTTTTAAAACCCCTCATCATCATCATCACTATCACTATCCATATATACTGGTAGATGAAACAGCTATATGCATATTAGTTAAGGGACATACCAATATTCTTGAATTTAACCCTTCCATATATAGGTAGTTGTTTTTGTCATCAATGCTTGTTAGGGTTTAGTCTGTAAATTAATAAGGAGGAGATATAATCCTTATAAGATATGATTTGTAATTTTATTCGAATAAAAATTATTGATTCAATGATCTTTAATCCTTTTAGCATTATAAATATAAATTTAAAAGGTAGAATCGTATTAAATATTCTCTTGTTAGAATGATTGATTTTTCTGATCTTATACACTAATTACATTTCTATTACATTTTCTTCCACTAGTTTGTAATAATTGTAATTTTGAGTGATACATTGTGGTTCAAGATTATCATTAAGTTTATTTATTATTATCATCTTTATAATTCTACTATATTTAGAGATTATTTTCTACTTAAATTGTAGACCAAATAAGTAAAGATACCAGCCAAGTAAAATGGCATGGGATGAATGCATGGTCCCTTGCAACAAGGAACTGGAATTTTAATCTCAGCCACCATCGGTCCGGTGGGACATTTGCACGTAAGATGAACAATGCCCTGCACTCTTTACAATGGGCAAATGCAAAGCCCTCCTGTAGAACCAAAAGAGAGAACAATAAATAGTATTATTTATCAAATCTAATATAAAATTCACAGCATAAAGAAATTCAGATAGAGATCTATAAATGAAGAGAGGATTGAATATTACTACGTGAAAAGATTGATTGAACTACAGGCTGCTTTCCTATGATTCCACCCCACGCTCTTTTCTAGTTTTCCTTTGTTTTTTTTTTCAATATTTTAAATTCAAAGAATTTGGACAAATGCAGAAAAATCGAAAGAAGAAAATAATTCTCACCAAGTCTGGATATGTGTTTATTTTTTTATAGTCGTCAGTATTTAATTTATTGATCGATTAATTTAAATCGAATACTACAGAAGCATAAGTAACCATCCCAACCTAATTTGCACTTCATGTTTCTTACAACATGTTTTCATCCCTAATCTTTTCTCCGACATCAATTACAATCTTGTTTTCTGTATTTGGCGAATGCCTCATGGGAGTTGCATTTGGGGGGTTTGCATCATTGCATAGCTGTTTCCCTTTCAAGTTCATTGGAATATAGAAGTTTAAAAGTTCAAGCTCGTCCATTGTTCTTCATTCATTATTGTTTAATTCAAATTTAATTATAATTAATCACTATTTCTAAACATGATTGACAGAATATATGAGTAAATTATATGCATATGTATGAAATGTAATAAAAAGAATAATAGACGGAAGGATTTATACCCACTTTAAAGATTGATATGGATTTAAATTTTAACTTTAAGAGAGTAAGTTTCTGAATAATAACTCCTGTGGCCTTAAAAACACATCAGAATAATAAAAAAGTATATTTTATATGGATTATTATACATAAAACTTTGATGGTAAGTTCTATCATGGTATTTTCTTCCATATAAATAAATATAAATATATATATTAGTTATCGGTTAATTTAGCGAGGTGACATGTGAGATTTTAAAAAGAAAACGTTCAAGGTACAAATTTTAGCGTTGAGGATGGAACAAACAAAGTCGGTATCAGGTGCTAGATTTTTTAAGTAAACCTATATCATTTTTGTAATACCTTAATTTTGTCCAGATAATTCAAATCAAATTAAAGGTCACTAAAGACTAATTTGAGGATGATCGTGCAATGATGTCACCTTATCGTGCAATGATTCGAGGTGATGTGTCGTTGCTTAATTGGTTTATTTGGGAAATATGACCATATATGTCCATTATGAAATTTTAAGGTTCAAATTGACTTGTAGCATTTTATTTATTTAAAACCCAAATACCAAGTGAACATTATCATCCAATGTCTAATTTTAAGTGTCCATCATCTACCCATTATCAAACACCAAAAGTATTCAAGGTCCAAATGGCCACTTCATATTTACATTTCCCATATCCGCTACACATCAAAATTCAAATAGCCTTAAACCAATTTACATATCATTGGCCCCTCTGCAAACCCACTAGGCCAATTTACACCAAGTCATGACGCCCAAATGACCCCTTCGCAAAGATCATTCATGCATAGTTATCATCTTCACGTGAGAAGCCCATGCAGTGCATCCTTGAAGCAACTGTATCATTCCAGCATCTCCCAAAAGCCACGAGAGAAATCCACAAGTAACCATCTCGCTAGCTCGACCCTAAAATCGCTTCAGATCAGCATACAAAAAATAAAAAATCAGTAAAAAAATGTTATAAAAAAATGATTTTTTCGGTTTTGTAACAGAAGAGAGAGTTGATATAAAAACCTGATACAATTGTAAAAAGGGATCCCTCATTTTCCATTAAAAAAAGGAAGCAATCAATACAGTAAACTCTTTGGATTCTTTTTGTAAACAAATAGAGCACATTTCAAGAGGTTCTGATTTTTCTCCAATATTTCTAGCATTTGTTTTGTTATTTTATTTGATATTCGAAAAAATAGAAGAAAAAAAAAAGTAAAGATAGTGAGTGAGCGTTGTTTACCTGAGCTTCTAGAGTCCTTTGGATTTACCCAGTTGAAGCTTCGCCAGAGTGAAGTGAAAGTAAAGGGTCGGGTTTCATCTTAGGTTCAAATCGGAGGGGTTTTTGAGGTATCGGTTGATTATATGAAAGGGTGTCGAAGTAATGGTCGGTCTAGGGTTGTATTTCGTGGTAAGTAGAGCGGAGTGAACACCTCTATGCGGTGGCCGTCGCCGAGACGACGTTGGGTATTTGGGAGGGCTCTCGGCCGTGAGTTAAAGAGAGGAGTGAGGGGTATTCATACCTGGGTCGAGGGAAGCCTAGGTCGTCACGGATGAGAGTTATCGGAGGGTGAATCAGCGTTGGTTTGTGGTGGTGAGTGTTGGCCGTGAGGTTTTATAGGGGCAGCCGCGGGTGAGAATGAAAAAGATTGAGAGAGTATCTTTTGAGTTAAGTTAAAAAGAAAATCGTCTCAGTGACAAAAAATGCCTTATAATATACGATTTTAACCAAATTTTTTTAGATTTGCCAAAATGACCAACAAAATCGCAATGCGAAATAAAAATCGCAACGCGATCTCCAGAATCGCAAATCAGTTCCCAGAATCGCAACGCGATGATGAAGAATCGCAATGCGATAGTACAAATTCGCATTGCGATTTTCCAGAATCGCAATGCGAATATGAAAATCGCAATGTGAACATATAAATCGCAACGCAATTCTGACTATCGCAACGCGTATCCGTAAATCGCAACGACAAATACGTAAAATCGCAACGCGTATCCGTAATTCGCAACGCGATTACGTAAATCGCAACGCGATTACGTAAATCACAATGCGAATCTGTAAATCGCAATGTGAATCTGTAAATCGCAACGAGATTCTAACTATCGCAATACTGAATTTCAAATTCGCAACTCGATTTCTGAATTCGCAACAGGTTTTAATTTCGCAACACAAATGTTTTGGGTATATAACTACGCAGCAGCAGCAACTCATAACCTAAATCCCTAAATCGCAACTCATTCCATCTCCATCTATCACTCTCTCCAGCGACATTCGTTCCTATATCCAACGACATCCTTCCTCATCTGGCAACAGGTTTTAGTTTTGCAGCTCGTTTGTTTAGTAAATTAATTTACAATAATGAAATCATCTAATGTTGATCATGTTTGGATAGATTTGTGTTTTGGAGGGTCATGGGAGAATGTTCATGGTGTTTTACAATATATGCCTTTACCCATGAATCTTCAACTAAAACTGTCATTAAAAAAGTTAACTTATGAAACTCTAATGTTACGTGTTGCAAATAAATTGAATTTAGAGCCCCTAAGTGGATTTAGGCTATCTTATCAGAGAAATGGTAAAGTTTATTTGTAAAGCGACAATGAAGATGTTGAACGATTTATTGCTTACATTAGTGTTTCAAGTGATGATGTTACATTGTATGTTGTTAAACCTAGAAGTAGTGAAGTTGGGTCAGTAGCGGGTAGTAATCAACTAAGTTTTTCAACCCCAGTTTATGGTGCTCAAAACTTAATGGTTCCACCACAATTTCATCACCAAGCAAATATTGTTTCACCACATTTCCAATACCAAACACAATCTCAAAACCCACAACCTTTCCCTAATCCAAATCCCAATCAACTTTCAGCACCAAATTCCGGTTTTTCGTATTGACCAGTTAGACGATGATGAGCCAACAGAAAAAATTGTGAGTACTAGTCAGTATTCGAAATTTGATCTTAGTCAATACCCGGACTTTGATCTTGGTCAATACTCAGATTTTGATGATTTTTCAGAAGAAGAAACAGACCCTGCGTGTAATGATTTTGATATTGGTCAATACCCAAATTTTGATGATGAAACAACCGTTACCGAGGAAGATGTTGTTGATGATAATGAGGAGGAAGTTACGACTGTAAATAAACATGTTGAACATCCATTCTGTAATTCATATAACACTGAAGAAGAAAAAGAAGAAGAAGAAATCCCCAAAGAAAAGTCCCCGAAGAAAATACCACGGGAGTATAACTGGAATATGCCAGAATTACTTCAGATACCGGAAGAAGAGTTGGTAAAGATAGCAGTTGATTGTTACACAAAAATTATTCGTATCTAGAAAGATGATTGTTTGATACAAAGGAAGACTTGAAGATAGCTTTGTATACGAAATGTGTGGAAGATGGCTATCAACTAAAAGTTAACAAATCAAGCAAAGATCGTTTCGAAACAAGGTGTATGATTGACAAAAACTGTATGTGGCGTATGATTGCAAAGAGGATAAAAGATTGCGAAATGTTTCAAGTTAGGACTTTTATTGATAAACATACATGTTCAAGAACCCAAGTTTTTCCTCACCATAGACAGGCAAACAAAAAGGTGTTGGGTGGTTTTCTGGCTGAGTTATTGTTTTTGAATGGTAGGGTATATCGGGGACATGAAATTATGACTGACATGAA